ATAAGCAGACCTCAGTCCTGCCTATGGATCTCAGTTACCACTGTCACTTTTCGAATTTTCGAAATTGACAGTCAATACACTAAAATGATCCGTTTTATGCATCAGTTCTTATATGCCAGCGATGTAAGAGCATAGAGCTTGCAATAGATAGAGAAGCTAGCAGCTAATATATTGTTCATTGTGTCTATGGATAGTGGGTAGGTATTATACCGGAGGATTTTGTATGGCAACTGATTGTTAGCTAATGAATGTGTGACACACCAGATCGTCTCCTGTATTGACTATAGTTAACTGTGTTGTTTTTTTCATACATGTAAAGCTGAATATACTGGTAAACTGTTACCAAAATATTTGAATAATTTAATATTAAATAAGAACCCTGTGATGTGACGGCTGATATGTGGACTGATAATGTGGCTGATATTCGGCTGAATAATTAGCAAGCTTCCGTCTTTTTCCCAGTTTATATTGTGCTTTATTTTTAGGTTTGTTCAACAGCGAGAAGTGAGTGACATTCACAACAAGTTATTTTAGTTTTAAATGTCTCCTTGCAAATGTTTTATTTTCATTTTTACACTGTTTGACGTTTGCAACTTTTATTATAAGATTGTTTCAGCATTTTTGTGCACACTGTAAACTAAGTAATAACTCGCTTACTTTACTGAACGTTAGAGAATAAACTGTAAATTTTGCTGTCGAGCTATTGTGCTCAACGTAACATTCGAAAAACGTATTTCGCTCAGTGTTCTGCGGTTTTCGGCTTCGATGTGCACAGGTCAGTCACCGCACGCCATAGATATCCTATATAATGATATCTATAATCAAACTATATCTACTCATATATCTTGAGCAATGCCCTTCATGACTTCTGCACTTGCACAGACCGCATCAGCGCGACAAGGAGCGTCACAACATCCGCTGCAAGCGGCACAAGTAACGCTGTTTTGAACAAGTGCCGCGGACAAGCGAATCGCTCCTACGTTCTCGGTGATTGTGGTGGTGGTGGATTCTTTAGTACCCTGTAGTCCCAAATGTTTCACATAACAAGCACAACGTTAGCACAGGATGTATCGGACTTCTCAATAGGATATGTTCGTTGGTCGTTTATGAGTTTGCACATCGGATGGCGCAAACGTTTAAGTGTCTTCCCGATTAAGATGGAGCTCCCAATTCGTACAGTAGTGCAACAAACTTATTGCAAGACAGAATAGGTAAGCATCATCCATATACCTACGAGCCTCAGGCTAAATAGGAGCTGCAACGTACTAATAATGCAGGCAACTACACAAGTCACACATAATGGCAGTGCAGTGGCAGTGATAGTTACATAACATCTTACAGTACAGATGCAATAAGAGTATCGATTTAGCGAGCATAACTTCTTCAACCAATTTAGCTTTTTGAAAGTTTCTGTTCTTGGAGCCTTACATCCACGTATGTATAATTCTACTTAGGCAACCGGCAGTCAATTCTTTCTAAAGACAGAACAAATCCGTGTTTAACCTTCTGAGGGTCAAGGTTATCCGACCTTGCCTTCCTTCGATGGCAGCAGAAGTACATTTCATGTCATTTCATAAGCCCAATTAAATGCTAAGTTCACGCTGAACAAAAAGTTTTTTCAATCTATCCGTCGAACCATTTCCCTCAGAAATGTCTCAAAATCTGCCCTGTGCCTTGCTTTTGGCTGTGACTCCGTTTCGGACAAAGTGATGGCTTTCCTCATGATGATATACACGATATCGAGCTAGGTCGGCGGTTTAGATTTCTGCACGATTCTGACATTTCCTCCCTATACCTTAAGTGGAGGAGTGATGTTCCCTTCTTTTACACTCTTGAACCTTTGCCCCTTTGACCCCAGCTTGGCGAATCAACTCTGTTTTCGGATTACCCCCCACCGTCCCCGACTTTCGAATCCTATGTCGAGCCGTTTTAGATTTGTTGCCAACTGGTTGACGGACGCTTGGAGGCCACGGAACGGAGGTAGAACATGGACGGCCGGACGCCTATGCGATTCTAAAGTGATCTGACTATGTTAGTGACGGCAAAACAAAATATAGGGTGTGGTTCGTTTCCCACCGACCTTATATTCCAGCACCCTAAACATTTTATTGTTCCTTTTCTTTAAAGTAAAAAAATTTGTGTAATAATATAACAATAAAAAAAATATGATTGGACAGTTCCTGCTTCAAAAGGCACAAGCACACCTTGGGACATGCCTTTGTATTAAAATGTTTCATAATAAATTTCCTACCTCACCCATATTTTCTTTCGGATGAACGGTAACCACTATATTTTGTTTTGGCTGAGCTAAAATTCGACCGACCTTTACGTTGTTGTTAAAGCCTTGAATGAACTTTCCCCGGAATTATTTTTTATACTATCACACATAAATATAGGCAGAGTTACAAAAGTGCAATGTTAAAATAGTTCATTTTTGCCTTATGTTCCATGCGCTTGAAATTTTAGAAGTCTTCTTTAACGTTGCTTCAATCGCTAATTTATGGCGAACTACTGTGCATCAGTCACGAAGGCTATCAGAGCTAGGACAACAGTACTCCTATTAATCTAACTAGACTGCTAGTGCAGGATAACTCACTAGCAATATGCCACCTCTAGGAGACACCGCTTCCATGTTTTTTCTCGTATGTTTGTGGTACAAGAAATTACTCGATCTTGGTTGAGAATGTCATGGGCTAGTCCCACGTTCTTGCTCAAACCAAGTCCGCGTGATGCACCTTCGATATTTCAGACCCTCTCTCTAATAACATTGAACAGACAAGAGGACTTGCTTGCATATGACGGTTTGAAAGGTCAGCAGCTGGTCAAAGTGTCTCATACGTGCAACACGAGCCAACCGTACGCCCAATAAAGCTATTTACACGATGTTTTCGTTAGGAACGTTTTTTGAACTCCCATTTACATTTCGATCTCTTATGTATGTCAAAACCACCCCCCCCTTCTATACACGACCTCTGAGCGCAATCCTCCCCTGCACACTGTTCAAGATGCAAGTCAAGCAACAAAACATACCAGATTCTTTGGCTGCAGCATTCCGATTGTGCCTTGTGAATACCACAATAATACTGTAGCACTAATTCCACCGAAATACATACATTTGCTCTCCTAGCAGAAGGCACCTTTCCACATGCTACAAGGTCAGCACGTCTCACGATTTTTTGGCAAAAATGGGAATTGCCACATGCACCATCAGCACGTCTACTTACAAGTTACATGCCAGCGTGGCATATCCTCTCGGTTTTCACGCAAATGGAGCTAGTCTACGAAGTTGACGTCACATTACTAAACTTATGTGTTCTAATGTCTGTCTCTGCGAAATTTAGTTAGACTTGACTGCATTCCATACGGCATCATGCACTGCATGGCCATAGACACGCGTCGCATTCAGGCAACTTTGTAGTACACGATTACGTCAGAGCTGGTCTAATATCATTGTTATCATTGTTGAGTTGGTGTTAATCTTGCTGAAATTATTTAGGAAGCTGCTATGTCTGGAGATGGGGCGAAAGGGTTGTACTGAATTAAGCAGAAGAAAGTGGGTTTGGGAGGAGAAGAGATAAAGCGAGAGTATGCGGTCAAAGATGATGTATGGAAGTAGTAAAACTGCCCAACAGGCATTCGCCATATAACTTGCTAGAATCGCATGTTTCCACCCAGGTTTTTAAACGAAAATTGATGTCTGAAGTGAAACAGGCTCTCCTGAACTAATATACATTTGATAATATGTAAACATAGATAAACATAGACAGAGTTAACCGTGTAATTCATATTTATTACCTACAAACACTTTATGAGAGAGGAGTGTTTAGTGTTTACAGCGAAGGAATTGTGTCTTTATACTGACAAAAAGCACATTAATTGATTAATGTGTGGTGGTTACCTATATATGGTTTCACACGTTATAGGAAAACCATAGCAATCACCATATACAAAACAAAAAACATCTGTTATTTGTCAATCACCAACTCTATATATATGTTGGTACTGAAGATCAGCAGGTGATGTGATTCCCGTGTAATGGGAAACTTTTCCCTAAGGTTATTCGATCATTAATCAGAAGACTGTCTGTAACCTTAATTGACTCTGTAAACATTTTCCCTGTATTAGCGTTGCCTAAATGATATGACCTCTCATATGTCCAACAGGCTGCACCATCTCAATTATCATCAGTGTCGACTGAAAATGGAAGTAACTATACACTCGGCGATTAATAGCAGGTGGCCCCAAACTAACCTGCGGCTAGCTGTTTATGAGATATTAATGGTCTCATCAATATCTGGTCTGTATATACCTTCATTTGGTCGACTGTTAGCATAGTATTTCCGCATGCTTTCTGGGTACCGACCGTACTTACGGAAAGTAGGGTTGTGAAACATTTCACGATAATAGTTAAATGGCCTGTGATCATCCTGTTGTGGGACAGTGCCTGTGCGCTCATCCAATCGCATATTTTCTGTGTGAATGTGAGGTCGTCGACCTGTGCTGTGCAATCGCAAGCTCTTCGTTTTCGATTGAAGATGGCCTGGTACTTGTCTGTTCTTATTCCTGTAAGTTGTGCGTCCGTGGCTGCTTTGGCCCCCACCAGTCGTGAAGCCCTGCTTAAAAAGTAAATCGTCGTCGGCGTCTGCCATTGGTGCGATTTTCTTTGAAGAGATTTGCGATCTCCTATCCAAAATTGAGTTCTCCAGGCGATATTTCTTTCCTTCTAGGGCAAGCTCTGCGACTTCTTCCTCCATCGTTGGCAACAATAGGTCACTACTCGACCACCATTGTTTACGAGGCGTGGCAGCAGCATGTAGAGTGCTTACTAGCAACCCTGGGTTGTCGACCCAATAGTTGTTACGTGCTTGTTCGCTTCTCCTCTGCTCCCGCAGCATGTTCTTGCGCTGCCACATTTTGATGAGTCGCTGAAAATAGATGCAAACGATTAAACTGCGATTGCGGCACGCGAATAATGCTGTCTGATGAATCTTTTGGTTGCTGCATGGGTTTGCTGCATGGTTAATATTTCTGTTAAATGTTTGTCTCACAATTGACCCCTCTCTGTTGTACCCTGTCATGCACACAACAGTGTATCATAGTTTCAGATTCATAGCTTCAAGATTTGTTAAAGTAGATCCCAGGGTATTACAGCAGACAGCTACAGTCTGACCCTATGGCTCTCCAGTCTACCAGCTGTCACTTTCGAATTTTGAACTTGACCAATCAATACACTAAATGATCCCGTTTTATGCATCAGTCTTATATGCCAGCAGATGTCAAGAGCACATAGAGCTGCAATAGATAGAAGAAGCTAGCAGCTAATAATATGCCGTTCATGTGCTCGTTATGGATATTGGGTAGTATACGGATATACGGGATAGGGGATAGTATATGGGATAGTATATGGATATAGGTTTTATACGGAGATAATGTGGCTACTGGACACTGATTTTGCTCAAATGAATGTGTGACACACCAGCGTCAGTCTCCTAGTAATTGACTTAAACTGTATTTTTTTCATACATGTAAAAATTATGCTGAATATACTGGTAAACCTGGTGTTACCAAAAATATTCTGAATAATTAAATATTTAAAAAGAACTGTGATGTTACGAACGGCTGAATATGTGGCTGAATAATGTGGCTGAATAATTAGCAAGCTTCGCGACATTTTTTCCCAGTTCTATATTGTAGCATTTATATATTAGGTTTGTTCAACACGCGAGAAGTGAGTGCACATCCACAACAAGTTATTTTTAGTTTTTAAATGTCCTACCATTGCAAATGTTTTATTTTTCATTTTTAAACCCACGTGTTTGACGTTTGCAAACTCTTTCATTTAAAGATGCCTTTCCACGCACATTTTTTGTGACAAACCACTGTAAAACCCTAAGTAAATAACTCGCTATACTTTAACTGAACGTTAGCTTTGAAAATAAAACTGTAAAAATATGTGTCAAGCCTATATTTGCTCAACGTAAAAACAATTCGAAAAACGCTTTTCGCTGCGGTTCTGGCGGTTTTCGCTTCGGAATCGACACAGGTCACGTAACCAGCACAGCCATAGATATCATATAACACATGATATCTCATACATCATATATCATACATCATATAATCTATGAGCAAATGCAGCCTTCATGACCTTCCGCACTTGGCAGCACCGCATGGCGACAAGGGACGCGTCACAACATCGCTGCAGAGCGGCAAAAGTAAAC